TATATATATACATATATTAAGAAGCGGCCATGACTGTACTTATATACTTAGCCATATTAATTAGCATGTATGTGTGGAGTGCCTGTTCATGCTACCGCATACATACACGAGGTCTGTCGGAGTAATCGCGACAAGAGATAAACGTCACGCCGGGATATCTCCCAGTGATCGAGTCAATAATAAGCGATAGATTCGCCTTAAAAAAGTGATGACTACTTACTTAATAGCTATCGAGATAAGAATCGACAATTATCGTGGCTGGAAATTATCGCGGTGTTATATTTATCTAGTGTTAATGAAGCGTGAGTCGCATAGCATAGCGCGAAGTAAGAGCTCATTCATCTGTGAAGTACGTTTGCGCCTTCGCGTCTGAACTCGGAGCCGGTAAATTATAGACCTGCGCCTCGTTCTCGCACCGAGCTCTGCTCGATTACCCCGATCGACCCGATATAAATACTCGCGCTTGTTGTTACTTTGACTTAGGAGCTGTCCGGCTCCGGTTTATGTATCTCCGATTCCGCGAATGGTCGTTACGACTAACGGCAGTGACGTATGGAGGCACGGAGAACGGCAATGATCTCTAATCATTATCGCGTACTCATTAGTCTCATTCCACCTTAAGTTCTCTCTCTTCAAGCTCAGTATTGTGCAATGTATACATTCCACTGTCTCATCTCTCTCTCTCTCTTTCTCTCTCTATATATATTTCTCTTTATATATATATTGTATATGTATAACTTTAGGTTTCATTACGTCCATTTCCTTTTTAATAGAAGTTTACAATCCTTTTCTTTATTTTACATGCCATAGAGGAGAAGAAGAAGAAGAATAAGAAGAAATAGTAGTGTAAGTCGATGCGTACATTAATTGTGCGGCGCGGTTTTTTTTAATACTTTTGTATATATTTATATATATTCTTATGCCGAGAAAAAGAATGAAATACATAATTTATATACCCTTCAGCGGAGTTCGCTTTTTTCCATGCCTGTCTCCGCACCGCACCGCAACTCGCGACAACGAAAGTCGGCAATCACACACCAGTCTGCAGCCAGTGTCGTTGATAAAAATTACCTTTATTCTCATCGAAAATATAAATAAATTACAAAATATAGAGTGTGTGCGTGTGTATGTATCTAAGTGTGTGTGTATGTGGATTGATACACTCGGAAGAGCGACATTTCCAACGTAAAACTGATATATAGATGTATCGCGATTCAATCGCCGATCACGTCCAAACCGGAGTTTGCTCCTAATCTTTCCGGGTGAAAACTATCTCACTGGACGTTTCCGGTGTTCAAGAGCGATTATCACGCGCTTGTCCTTTCTCTTTTTCTCTCTTTCTTCCTTTAGTACGAAAGTACGAATTAGAGCTAGGCGATGTTAACCGATAAATCGATGTTTGATTGTTTTCTGCTACAAGAACAGTTACATTCACGTTCTTTTCACATTTGATTATGCAACTGAATATATGAAATGATAGCAAAGACCACACCAGCTTAACACAATATACTGTACAGACAAAAGATTTTTTTTTTAATTTGATTAATAACCTTCTGCTGGCATTTTGAGTAAAATAGTATTAGAATAATTATAAATTATTTATACACTAAATATTTAAATATTTATATTGGATAGTTAAAGATAATCGATAATTATTATAAATCATTATAAATTAAATTTTTTAATTTAACTTGGCCCACTGAGCCCGACATAATGTAATTTATTCAGATCTGACAGTCTTTATTATTAACTTGATGATACTGTATGATTCCTGTGTGCGTATTTTTTTTATTAACTTCCCAGTAAGCAATCTGCGCACAGACTGACGTCAGACTGGCGGCAGATTGCGTGCAAATCCTGTCATTTCGTAGGTTCTTCAATTAAATTTTTGGTAGAAAATTTTCTCATAATTTTTCATAATTACTCATAGAATAAGCGCTTTCTCATAAATACTCATAAGTACTCGTAAAATACAATGAAAAAAAAAGTTTTTCTATATTATTTTTTCATAATTTTTAAGATTTTCTCTGATAAGATTCAAACTTAAACCGAAGACATCTTTTGGATAATCGTCCATCGCCTTAGACACTACGCCAATTCCTCACTTGATAAAAAGTGCTTTATATTGCCCACTTAAAGTTTAAGGAAGAAAAATCTTAGAGTTTGTTCGTCTTTTAAACCGCAAAATATAGACAAAACCGTTTAACCGTATAAATAATGTAAGAGAGACCGGTACGATAATTCAAAATTAATTTTCTACCAAGGACTGTATAGAAAATTACTGCAATAAAACAGCAGATGACATTTTTCCATCATGCTAATAAAATACTGTACTTTTACATGTGCGAATTAATTTGGTCAATCGTCCAGTTCAGATTGTATTAAGTTTTATCAAAATCGAAGCATGATATATTTTCAAATAAACCATCACAAAAATTCTGTAAAAGTTATTTACATAGCGAGACTGATATTTTATTCGGTCCTGCTGCCTTCAGTACTTATTGCATGACGGTTAAATCGTTCAGATTTAATGACATAATAACATTAAAAAAAATAATAATATGAGAAATTGTATGAATAATTATGAGATAAATTTTTACCAGAGATGGTATATGTACGCCTTTAAATGGCCATTTAACCGTTGTACTATTCTATACTTATACTCGTTATTTCTCTATTATTGTTGCTTTTTTATCAGAAATGTGTAATACAATTTAAAAAAGTAAAAATTGTTTTTTATTGTTATATGTGTACAATTATATGTGTACAATTATTGCACAATATAATTATCTTGACTTTTCTCGAAGTTTTACATGGTGTGTATGTGAAGCTGCCCCATTTAATAGCGTACATATGGTCCTTGATAGAATTAAATAGCCTATCTAGGAAACAGAATCTGCGCGCAATCTACCGTCAGTCTGTCGTCAGAGTCTGTTGACAGGCTCTGCGCGCAGTCTGTCATCAATCTGTCGTCAGAAAAGATTCTGCGTGAAATGTTTTACCATTCTGTCTACAGAGTCTGTTGACAGACTCTACGTAAAATCTGCTCGCGCAGGTTTAGCTCTCTGGGTTATTAGTTTATTATTATGTAACTCTTACTAGCATATTGAGTAGTCATGAAAAGATTATAAATTAATTGAATATTCAAAATACTTTTGAAGTATAATCAATTATAAAAATTTGATTTTTTTAAATCCATCATTTAGACGTCTATTCTTTCCTTCAACATCGCCTATCCCTAGTAGGAATATACGCGTACGATCCATTTTGTTTACGTTCGGAAGGATCCGATTTCGGGTCGTTTACATTCGGTTTGTTTACCTTACGGCTAGCAGCTACGTACGAGATGGCGTGCGGATATCAGAGACTTCCACAACAATAGATCCGAGTCCGCACTTCTCCCCTTAGATACGACGACGACGACGAAGACGATGATGACGACATTCTTACGTTTATGTTAAGTTACCGTCTAAGAGAGTCCGCCCAATACTGGAACGAATCGAATACAGGATTCGCGCCCGACCATGGCACATACACATCACGATTAATCGCTAAGGACTAGGGAGATACATCGTCGCTACACGGTGCTCTCCGTGTCGGACGCCACGGAGAGTGTCTGCATCTTCGGCACGGAGTAATTCTCCGAATGGCCGTGAGATTGCGTCCGGTTAGATACTCTTTCTAAAGTCGAAGGGGCTGAAGGAGTATCCTGGTGGGCCTTGGGAGGAATTGGTGGAGGGCTCACCTGCGAAAAAGTGAAATTTGTTAAATCTCAAAACAATAACGGTCAATTAAATTTTAGTAGAGAAGATATATGCCTATTTCCTCTATATTTCTTTATTATATTTCTTGATTTTTTATGTATATTCCTATATTTTTCTGCATTCCTATATTCCTCACCTCTTGACCCGGAAGAGAATGAGAGCTCTGGAATGTGCCGCTGGCGAAGCTACCGGTGGAGACGTTTAGCGCGCTTATCACAGAGGGTGGCGAGATATTCATGATATCGTTACATCTGGAGCGCGGCTCAAAGTCCTCATAACCGAGGTTGTTCAAGTTCGTCAGGTGTGATTGGAAATCCAGCAAACTGGCTGTGGAGATGCCGCTGTCGCGCAAATCGTTTGGTTCGTTCTGCGTCTCAGAGTCGTCGTCTGTGCTCCACTCTGTGTTGCGTTTGTGCGCTAGACGTTTCGGTGGCGCCGGTGGCACGACTGTGTTTGTGTTTGTGTTAGAATCTCTCTTATCCGGAGCTGCAACAAGAAGCGCTGCGTGCACAAGTTACGATATACTTCTTTGAAGAATTTATTCTTTCGAATTATATTCAAATTTTATTCTATCACTTCATAAAATAATGTATAAATGACATTAAATAGTTAAACAATATATCAATCTACAGACGCGTGTGCATATCGTTATAACAAAAAATTGCTACTTTTCCAAAAAAACTGCCATAATAATACCGGTAGAACAGCAATCGATTACAGAAACGAAGGGATTAACTTACTGCAGCCTCTGGGTGGTAACGGCGGTGCGGGCTCAGGTCCGGGTTCACTCCAAGAACTTCTGAGGCCACTTTGGTCTACGCCATCGGTAGGAGTTGGCAAAGAATGCCTCAGTGGCAGTTTCGGACTTAGCGGTTTGCTGAGGGACCTCTGATGCGTGGGTCTCGGTGGCGTGGAACCGTAACCGACGGAACGTGGTCGAATCTCTCGTTGTGGAATAGGCGGCGGTGCACCGTCCACTCTAGTATAAAAGCCTTCGTCCTCCGGAAGTCCGTCGCTGTCGGCGTGCGACGCTCTAGAACCGGCGGTCTCCAGAGTGACCGGACGCTGTTTGTCGTTAATTGGCAAAGGTGGCAGTGGCGAACTAAAAAAGCGACAAGAGACTACAATTAAATAAGATATTAAATAATTATGTTAGAAATAAACAAAAAATATAAGTTATATTTGAGCGATTCTCATTCATTTCAAAATTGATATGAGACCTTCTTTGATACATATATTATTTATAATTACTTGACAATACTATCTTGATGAATAGTTCTCTGTCTAGCCAGAGGACCAAGGCCTTGTTTGAGCTGCGTGAATCTTTCGATAAGCCTCTTGTGCAGCGGCTGGACCCCGTCCGGCGCGATCTGACCGTGAAGTACCAGACCAGACTCTAGAACGTTCATCTGGTCCAGAATTAGGCCCTTCAGTCTGTTCACGTGCGGCACCATTTCGGGGTTCTGCCAAGCGAACTCTGGCGTGAGAAAGGCCTCTTGGTACTTGGTGATGCCACCCATCACGTTGGCGTCGATGATACCCTGTAGCCGCATGCTGAAGGGATTGATGTTTCTGTGCGGCTCGGCTCTGTACTGTGTAACTAATCTTCTCAGTTCTTTCTCTACACTTTGCATGGTCTCACAAGCGTACTGTACTGGCGCCATCAGCTCTGACCGTTTCTCGATCACTTCGAACCATCGAAGAATTCCTGGTAGTCGTGCTTCTGTCGTTAACATTGTTCTTTCAATCCAGAGCGATTTGAATTCGTTTTCGCGATCCACCGGGCCTCGATGAAGAGGACGATCAAAAGTGAACCTGCGCACATCGTTCACCAGATAAAAGGCGACCACGCGCTCTGGCACTTCCGCGCCGCTGCAAGCTAAGCTGCCTTCTTCGGGGATCGGTTTCACATTGCAAATTTGAATGTCTGAAAAATGGAGTAAAAGAAATAACACGGAATGACACTGGTTTTACAATTTCAAAAAGAGAATTATTTTTTTATATAATTTTAAGAAGAATCATTAATTAATTTGATATCGCTTACATTGACCCTCGGAAGTCAGTATGCTTTCGTCCGGCGGGGAGTTCTTCATCAATATCTGCGCACATGGAAATTCGGTCTGCAACCGTTGCGTGAATGCTCCTATTCGTTCATACTCCAGACCACGGTAGATGAACAACTTATTCTGCAACAGAAGGAATAAATAATAATTTCAAACGTGATATTTATGCTTTGTATCAAGAATTTTTCTAAAAATCTCAGAGTATGTCAAACTTACCCTGACGAAAAGCGGAAAGCTAAGTCCATAAAATCCAACACGGAAGTACTCCGGTTCCGGGCGCAGCTGTGTCAAAATATTATCCAAAAACGTGGCTTGCAACTTCAACACGTGACTGAGCTTGGCATAATCGTACAATCTGGTTTCGTATAGCTCTGCTAGCTCCTTACACAAAGGGATACCCTTCTCCCAGCACTTGCCGCGATCAAGATAGTGAATGATCTTATGGTAAAGCAGCTCCTTACGCTGCCACTCCAGCTGCTGAGGATGGGCATGATCAGGTGGCAGCATTGTGGATCCCCAGTCTAACTGGTCAGCATACAGCTTCATCGTAAAGCCAGCTTCCGTATAATTTTCAGCGGCCAGGTGCAGATCGTGCAGTTTGTAGATATAACGCAGATACATCTCCTTCCGGTTGAATTCATTCTTGTAGAAGTTCTGCAAGAGGAGCAGGAGTATCCCCATGACACTCGGAGATATGCACACTCGTACACTTGTACAAATGGTTAACGATTGAATGATGAGTCGGCCAGAGGAACGATAAAATTTCCATCGGAGAGCGCAAACTGACGTGCTAAGTATTGCGCACGAAGCGACAACGTGCGCCCATCAGGTATATTATTCATTGAGTACATGTATAGTAGCGCGTCGTGAGTCGCACTGTCAGTCGCACGGTCCAGTTAATTAATACAAATTAAGTTGAGAGAGGAGTAACTTGTAGATATTGTTATGCCTAGAGAAACAATCCTAGATCTTTCTTTAATACGCACCAACAGATTCACGGTGCACGACATACGCTTGTCGCGATTCTCGTCGCCCTGGATAACGCTTCTGTAGTCGAGAAGTCTTTCCAACAAACGCGTGATGGACGTTATGAAAGCCGTTCCACTATCCTTCCACGCCGGATCCTCAGACTGCACCCTGTCCAGCAATCTGCACGCGACAATAAACATTATGTTACATCGGACGTGTACTAAACACCTTCGAAAAAAGAAGTCAGGTTTGACTCAAGTCAATTTGAAGAAGTCAGGTTGTAAACGTCACACTTACACGGCGCTAAGGTGTTCCCTGAAGCGGCATGAAATTACAAATATATATCGACGTAAGACTATCTATGAGAATTTGATGAAATTAGTCACACACGTCAACTTACATAGTGTTAAACAGCTGCCTATACTCGTCGTCACCCTTGTTCTCGCTGATGAGAATATCCAGTTTGTCGATCAGCTCGGATTCCACCAACTTAAAACTTCCACGGGCTCGCTGCTCGCATTCCATCATGTCGAAGAAGATATGTAAAGTCGCCTTGCGGAGTTCGCTTTCGGGCACCAAAGTAACTTCGAGGAAGGGTCCAACCATGCCAGGTATGAACTCGAGCTTACGTTCGCCCAAGTGCGACCACATGGATAATATCTGGAAGCCCATGAGGACCCTCATATCGCCGTATTTTTCCACGATCTTTTCCCTCTTCACTTCAGAGAATTGCTCGAGCTGAAGCGACGGCTGAGTGAGGTAAGCTACCGCCAAATTGAAGTACGTTGACCAGAGCTGCGAGTCGAAGCTACCGTGCAGGAAACGGAAGGCGAGCGGTTGCGCAAGTTCCTGTAACGATCTCAGGATAACATTATTGGCCTGCATCCTGATGACCAGCCAGTCCGGCGGAAAGACTTCTTGGCGCACGAGCTCGCCCAACACCTCAAACACCTTGAGTAGGAAATCCTTGAGCGGTTTCCGCTCACCAGCATGCGTCAATTCCTCCCAGAGTTGCGTGTAATGATACTCATCGAGAAGTTGAAGCAGTCCTATTAAACAGGCTACTAAACAACCGAGGACTGGACTGGATTTAATTACGATCTGAATGGCCTGTATGAGAACATCGAGCACGGATAGGCACAGCGTCTCGACGTCGTGGTGAATGCAGTTGTTGACTTTATTCGTATCCCTACCACGTTTGTGCAGGAAGCTGAGCATCTCGCCCAAGATATCCGTGCAAGAGCGCAGTTCTTCTCTACGAACCAAATGCAGACGCAGGTGTTTGCACATCGTAACGAGCAGCATATTCCTGCTCTCATCGTCTTCGCGGAACAGAGTGGACGAGGTAAGATTCTTAATAGCGATCAGCTTGGCCTGCGTGAGTTGCAACGATGACTCCCGTGGTACCGAATCTAGCATCGTGCAGGTAAGCTTGGCCACCTCGAGTACCGGCAGCACCGCCACCAGCTGCTCAAACACTGCCGCGATCGACTCCAGCAATGCGATCTGTGATTTTAGCACCATCTCATACGGAATACACAGCATCTTGTTGAGGGCCGCGAACACGCAGTGCAGATCGCGCTTGAAGCTGTCCTCGTATTGACCGGCGGTCGCCCGAGCGAACAACAATCGGCTTTGAATGATGAACTTGAAGATGTACTCGAGCGAGCGGAAGCACTTCATGATCGGCTCTTGCTTTTCCGCCGCAGTTACCCAGTCAGCGCAATGCTGTACACTGCTGAGGAGGCCCTTGTACACCAGAGCGGCGGCGAAGTGGTCGGAAATGTAAGCGTCCATCACAGGTTTGAAGTGCTCGAACTTGGGGTCCTCCAATAGGCTGAAGATGGAAACAAGCACCTGGAACACGAGTCCCGAATGCGCTGTAGAGTTGCCGTCCTCGGTGTGGAACATGGAGAACAGCGCATCGAGGATGTCCTGGAGAAACTTCACCAGCTCCTCGCCATCTAGTCGAAGAACGCGACTGAGAGCCTCGGATATCCGTTCGGGATGGGCCTTCCATTGCAGTAGGCTAAGTAAGTCAACGTTCTGCGTTAGCTTGGTACTGCAGAGCAAGGTGTGCACAAACACGGCTTCCTTGGGCGATCTGGAGAAGGCCGGTGGACCTGGAACATGAGAAAGGAGAATAGTTGTGTGTATAAAGATCTCCCCTGATTTTGTAATGTATTTCGATTTATAATTTCATTTTATAATTTTTCATTTCATCTGCACTTTGAACGACTAATTTATTTCTTTCTCGCGTCTCATCGTTATTATTCCGAATATCATTTGAATAAATTTATCTTGTCAGGAAGCCCAGATTTACCTGAGGCGCTTGGTTCTCTCGCGCTGCTCGGCAACGACAGGTAACTCAGTGAATCCAATTTTGCACGTTCCTCGCATTTGTAAATATATAACTCGTGAGGACCATCCTGAAGAGTAGCTCCTCCGGGCTCCATCAGCCGAACGAACGCGAAGGAGAAGAGTTTCTTGTCATTTTTCTCGCGCGCTGAAGCAAAAATGCCACCGGTCGAGAGAGGAGGTGGATAAAAAGCTTCGATAGAGAACAGATGAAAAGGCGGAAGGTGTAGGAAAGAGACGTGGAAGAAAAGTGAAAGGCCAGAGTTCGCTTGACCGATATCTATCGGAACTTACTCGAACAGTGTCGAAACTCGAAACGCACGTGACTACCGTAGAACTTGTCGATAGGTATCGCCAGTCTCACAGTTTCTGCCCATGACGGGCTGTTGTGATGATATATGACCAAGCTCTGATATTCGGAACTACCGTCCATCCCCGCGGCTCCAAACAAGCACCCCTCCAAAGGTTGACCGTCCGCATCCAAGACCAAGATTGTCACCTGATTTTATTTTCACATGGAAAAATAAATCTCAATTCGTGCGGCAGATGAAAATCAGATGAAAACTCGGTAACAAGAAACGTGTTAACGCGTATTATAAGTATTCGTCTGAACATTCACCTACACTAAAACTTGGTTCAGACAACTGAGAACAATGAACTGAATAGAACTCACTTACATGATTTTTTAGAAAAATATCTAAAAAATAGTAAATATTTATTTTGATGGGAGGATATGTATACTATAACAACATATTTTCACTTAAATCTAAATTCTATTTTATTTAAATAAAATAAACAATTGCTTTTTCATAAAAAGCTAAGGTTTTCTTAAGATTTCAAGAAAATGTATATGTTCTTAGTTATAAAATATTTTACATATTAATATAAATAAATATGTTATTAGTACTAACCGTGAGTAAATATTTTTTTACTATTTCTTAGATATTTTTTTTTAACGTAATTTTTCTGTTCCTACAACCGAGTTTTCGTTTGGCTCCAAATAATAGAAAATCAAACGAACCGAATTTTCTTTCCGTATACGAATTCAAATGAATAATCTTACTTTTACAAAGATATTCTTATTCCTAAAAAAATAAACAAATATATAATTATTATTCCTGATTAATAAAAATTTGGGGTATCATTATAATTGATTGAAAATTGTATAATATTTACAAGTATAAAAACTTGTTATTAATTTCAATCTGTAAAAGTATATAATTATGCTATATTTTTGGTGAAAGAATTATCTGTGAAAATAATCGCACCTCAATATTCTTGCCAGTGGACTTTCCGCCGCGTTCGAATTCACCTCGCTCCAGCTTCAGATACAGATCGTTACGCACATCGCCCGGCATGATGACGTCGGAGAAGCCGAGCTTCTTCGTGAGGCAGATATTTTTGAATAGCAATGGGTTTTCCTCCCGAACCTGAGATAACTCGCCGTGCAGAATACGAAGGGAAACCACTATTCCGTAATTGGGCTGTCCAGGCAATGGAGAACACTTATTATTACGTATGATTTGCTCGTGCAGCTGATGGAACTCCTTCTCATCACCTTGATACACCTGCAGAGGATGAAGGACCCTTCGATATCGTATTCCGCCGACAATTAATATCGGATTCTCTATCCGCTTACCTTAAACGTCATTTCGTGTTCCTCCGCGTGATCCTGTGCAGCCTCCGTCAAGGAGATATTCGTCAGAGAGAGCACCGCGACTCCATGAGGTCGTCTGTAGGTCGCTGTCCCGGTCTTGTTCTTGCCGGAATCGGAATACAACATCCTACCGCAGCGCATCACATGGGCGATCATATAGAGATCCCGACTTAGGTCAGAGTTGCCGAGATCTGTGAAGATTGTGCAGTTGTTGTGCATCTTTTCCACGTAGTTGGAGAAGCCCTCCTTGGAGATGCGCACGAGGAAACGCTCGCTCAGGTACTGCAGCCGCTTGGCGTCGAACAAGGAGAAATAGATCTCGGTGTCCTCGCCGACCGAGTGGCCAAAGTCTCTCATGCAGAAATGCAGGTGGTGAGTGAGGATCTTTTTGTGCTCCTTGCGACGAAGGGTGCCACGGGCCGACGCGCCCTGCGAGTTCTCGGCGCTCTGCACGTGCTGCAATTCCCGAAGGAAGGGACCCGGAATTAGGGGGCACACGCGAGTAACGTCATTTATTTATAGTGAGATTAGGTCAGCTCTTCGGCCCCAAACTTAGTCTCGGCTTACAGAGTTAGGATACTCACTCCTAAACTCGAGGTGGGGGTGAACCACTGGGGATTTTGGTGTAATGTCGAGGTATCGGCGGGAATTAGTTAAAGGAGGTGTTGCTTAATCAATGCGCTAGCCTACCTCGAAATAACGCGTTCGTGAGTAATATTACGTTGAGTTGCCATTTTGATTCGGTTCTCACGAGTAAGAAGTTCTATCAAGTTGTGACTTGAAGATATATCATGTAACATCGAGGCGCGTAAATTGGAACGACCATAACCAGCTATGTTTGTACTCGCGAGAAGCCACGATCGGCGAGGTAACTGTATCGCTTCGCACGTAGCGAAATTAAACGAGGCTACCTTCGTGATCGACATTTTAATGAATCCACGAGAAGCTCCACGCCTCGTCGCTGTCGTCCATTCCGCGCGCGCGACTTTGCTCATTTTCCATCGTGATGTTCTATTCGACGTTCTCGATATGTGCTCATAATACGTACCACGTGATATAATTCGACGACAGACATTGTATCTGGGTCCACCATGTGAGCACCTTGACGTGGCACCAGATCTAGGCCAAGCTTCCTAGAATACAGCAAGAAAAAAATACGAGCCGTGATAGAGAGAAAAATTTCACGGAGAGCGTAGTTTACCTAAAAGTAAATTGATTATAAATTACAATTGATAATGGGGACTTATTGACGCATATAGCATGCATCAACGTAATAATCGATTAAACAACGTTCAACAACAAACATAGTGAGATTGTTGTCTTCGGAGCACGTGCATAAGTAAAAGTTACCGCGGGGGATTATTTTTAATGCACGTGTCATTAACCGAAAGAGTCTATTACACGTTGCCTAAGAATAAAATTACCCGAGCCCGGTGCAATAAAGTGCCTTACGCAACAGGCTAGCTATTATCCGTTAGCTATCGATAAAAATTCCTCCCGAGTTACTTTTACATTATACACTGATAAATTCCAATAAAAACATAAGCGTTTCAGAATAGGTTTATACATAAACTATGAAGGAAATATAACTTTCAAGACTTCTATAAAAAAATCTCAACAATATTTCTACAACAATTTTATGGCGTTTAATTAGTCGATGTAGCAAATGAAAGATGCTTGCCCTGCAATTTAGCAGTGCAGTAAAAAAAAAATAATCTTACAAAAAAAAAATAATCTTATCTTTAGTGAAATCTTTCATATACCCTCAAGAGGATTTTATCTCTTATGTGTTCTCAAGAGAATTTTTCTAAAACCAAAAGGAAAATATTCTGGGATCTCTAAGCGAATTTTCGCTAAGAATAAGGTTATATTTTGTGAAATCTTTTTATGTGATCTTAAAAGGATTTTCCTCTAAAATAAAAAAAAATATTTTAGGATTTTAGAAAGAATTTCTACTATAATAGGATTATATCTCTTTTATAAAAAAAGATTAACACTCATATTAATAGTGGTCATTTGAAACTTATCTCATATAAAATATTCAGATTTTTATTTAGAGTTTGATTCAAGTTTTTCGGTCGATTCATGATATATATGGCATTTACATCTCTAATCAAGACTCAACTGAAAAACTCTCATCTCTAACTCTGATCTGATCTTCAAATCTGAACATTTCGCTTGAGAAGAGATTCAAGTAATAACTATTAATACGGACCTAAAATTCCATCGTCGATGTATTTTTAATTATTCTTTGAAGATGGGGCGAGTGGCGACAGACGAAGTCGTCAGGTGGCATCGATCACGGCGGGAATGGGCATGAGAAACGGGATTATTACACGTCGCTGATTGAGGCGTACGTTGCATCACACTTTGGGAGGTTCGCCTTCGAAGTGGGACCCCGGAGTGGCTACTTAACTTCTCATGACCCCGCACTGAGAGCTGAGCCGAGCCGCATGCCATAGGGCCGACGTGTTCACGAACGCATTGGGGGCCCTTTCAGGCCCGTCTCTCGACGGTGGACTCCCGCGTGGAGGGCTCCGTCGCCTCGTAGGAATGCAGATACGTGCCAGGTACTCGCGTATCTCCTTTGTATGCATATGTATATATGTACGCGCACGAATCGCATATATATGAGCTCATAAAGAAGCCGAGGCGCACGCTTATCGGAAAAAAAACGGGGGCTCCATGTAGCAGATTCCAAGGAAGTTTCCGATTCCCGGCTTGAGCGCCTACTCAATTATCATTATAACATCACGACGACATAACGTATAGCGAGAGGACATAACGACGATATAGCGACGACATAACGAAAGCGAATAGTTGGAAATTTCGCGGCAATAAGGAAAGCAACGAATTTAATTTGAAACGGTAGCCACGCAGTGGACGATAAATATAAATGCGCGTGTGGGGCGGTAACTTGCGAGTATCATCAATATTGCTATTACGGTAATAATTAAGATTGCCAATAATTATCAATCGTTAAAATCGGACACGCGGGAGAGCGTGAGCACGGCGGTATAAGAAAGTCCTTCCATAAATCTGACCTGACAATCCTTTAAGCTTCTCGGAGCGTTTAAACGGCCACAGTGGCGTAGCTATTAATATGGCAGATGAGAAACTAGCGAGCGAATTGTTCCGCGACAGCTCTCCTCCATGCTCCTCCTCCCGCTCGTTTCGTGATTGCGACTCGAACGACGATCGATCGATTTCCAGCGATTTGTGTCGATCGACCATTCATGTCATTCACTAACAACGCGAATCCGTTTAGCCTGACGACGAGGAAGCCCGTCACATTCTGCCATTACTCGTGCCGTGTGTAATTTCCAAGTCTAACAAAAACGGGGGCCGTGAAAAAAAGAATTAATTGACAATGAAGCCGTTTTTAGAGGGCGGCAGGGGGATGAAGTTAGAGAACATTGAGCTGCCTTTCACGAGCACCATGTTAGGGCGAGATTAAATTAAGTGGTAGGTTCAAGAGAGCCAAGAGAAGAGCGGCTCCGGCGCGTTCGCTCATTTTATTTCCAACTTTTATTCTTTTTTTCTCCTTCTCTCTTTTTTCCTTTTTTTTCCTCCTTTGGAACCACTCTCGAACCTGAGAATTTCGCATCCTCCGTACTACTACGTCACTGATCCCGGTGATTCGGTGTGCACCAATCCCACACCCTCGCCACCGCCAGAGCCGGTCCGCTAGGAGCGTATTCAGGACTGCCACAACCACGTATGCAAATCGAATACTCCAGGATAACGACTGGCGGTACTACAATTAATACATTGTATTTGTATACTCCAGACTACGCAGTTAAAATGTCATATTTTGAAAGAAAAAAAGAAAACATCAGTTACGTACACTTTGCGTCTGTTTACTCAGTCGCAATAATTTGTATCCCTTGCGGCTTACATCACAATTTGATTGAATGATTGACTGAGCGTTTGTTTATCGTTCTAGGACAGTCCTCTGAGGATGTGAATATTGTTATAAAAAAGTATATTAACACGCGCGTTAATTACATACATGTAATTTTCTTTTACATATAAAAAATTAATATTTTTCAAAAGCTACTATGTTGAAAATAATCATAATTGATTTGACATAAAACATTTTTTTATAAGCTTTAATAATATAAGAGTATTAGAACTTGCGAATTTCTGCAATGATATGAAAGTTTTTATATTTTAACGAAAGTGGCCGCGACTTTTTCTAATGGGAAGAGTAACTTATCTCTAGAGATAAAAGCTGTCATTTGAGATAATCGAAGACAATTCTGCACTGAGTGCGTTTTCCGCGGTTCAATGCTCGACCACCGGAGAGTTGCAGTACAAGATGAGAAAGAAAGAGAGAGAGAGAGAGAGAGAGAGAGAGAGAGAGAGAGAGAGAGAGAGAGAGAGAGAGAGAGA